TTATTAATTTTACTTGCATATTCTTCCACCAATGTTAGAATAAATCCAGGACCCTTCTTTAAGTAGTAATGCTTCACTGGCCGACTGAGCGAGAGAGAAGGAAAAAGAGAGAAAAAGAGAAAGAAAGTGAGAGAGAGAGAGAGAGAGAGAGAGAGAGAGAGAGACTATATATACATATATAACATTGTTGAAATCTAGTAATTTTCATAATAATCTTCCTAGTTATTTTTATCCACAGACAGCTGGCTGGAAAAATATCGGAGAAGCTATTGCTGAGAATCTATTGACAATTCATTATTAAAAGATCAAATCTACTGAAGAAAATATACTTAGTTAGTCGTACTAATTGTAAGAGTTATAACAGACGAACGAACGAACGAACGAACAAACACACGAACGAACGAACGAACGGACGAACGAACGAACGATTCTATTTGCACCTCCAACATTAAACTTTTAAATAAAATTTGTGATTAATAATTGTAAGTGTGGCCTGGTTACAGTTTTAAGTTTCGCAGTAATCGAAATACAGTTTACTTCAGTGTAGAGGTACTTTAGCAAGTAAAAGTATTGAAGACGCTGCCAATGACAAAGGAAGAATGACGTCAAAAACAACAAAATAGTAATAGTAATAATAATAATAATAATTATTATTATTATTAAAATTGTTATTATTATTATCGAAAATATTAAAAGTACTTGAATCTGAATAATATTTCATTCCATAAAAATGATAACACGTTCACCTTCACTTAACTTATTCAACAGGCACGCTTAAATTTGTATGAAACGTTAGAATTTAATTATGCAAATTTCTCACGTACTCGTCAGTATCTATAGGCCTTCGTTTCTATCCGTAAGTTATCGGTGTGTATCCGTATCCGTAATTATCTGTATGTATTGGTGGGTATTCGTGAATATTTCCGAATAGTTTACAGTTTATTGTGAGTCTTTTTAGTAAATAACTATAATTATTTACAAATATTATTTACTCGCAAATATTCATGATTATTCGATAGTATTCGTAAGTATTTGTAAGTATTCGTAACACTCTGTAAGTATTTGTTAATTATTCGTAAATAAACACTCGGATGTTTGTTTATTTGTGTTATTTGTGCGTGTGTCGCTGTTGTTGTTGTTGTTCATTTTGCCAGTAGTAGTAAGTAGTAGTAGTAGTATATCAGTAGTAGTAGTAGTAGTAGAAGTAGTGGCAGTAGTAGCAGCAGTAGTAGTAGTGGCACCTAATACTTGGTTTCTTTATAAGTTCGAAAGATAGAACCGAAAAAATATTTATTATTATTATTATTGTTTTTGTTATTATTATTATTAAACATTGTCAAAAAAGCAATTGACAATTCTTCATCATAATTTATGAGCAATTTGTACTCAAGTTTTATATTTTCTCTAATTTATTCAATCTTACATTTTTATTATTATTGTTATTATTATTATTATTAGTAGTAGTAGTAGTAGCAGTAGTAGTGGCAGCAGCAGTAGTAGTAGTAGTATTAGCAGTAGTAGTAGTAGCAGCAGCAGCAGTAGTAGTGTAGTTGTTGTTTTAAATGTAATACCTATTTGACGTTTCCAGGTTTTGCATTGTACAAAATTGAGTTAAGCACACACGCGCAATTGAGCGTTTATAACAATTGAACAGTATTGTATAATAATGTATTGTATTGTATTGTTTTGTATTGTTTTGTATTGTATTGTTTTGTAGTGTATTGTTTTGTAGTGTATTGTTTTGTATTGTATTGTATTGTACAGTATTGTATTGTACAGTATTGTATTGTATTGTATTGTATTGTATAGTTTTGCGTTTTGTTGTAATGTATTTTAAACTAATAAATAAATACATGAATAAATATATAAATTATATTTGTAATGCCCCTAGAATAAAAATCATCTTATTTTTGGGGTTTTTAAAGTCAATTTTCGCAATTTTTTTACTTTAAACTTCACGAAACATGGCTAACAACAACGAAAACAACAACAACGACGACAACAACCACAATAATAATAATAATAATAAAATTGGAAAAATATATACCAATAATAACAACAATAAAAATACGAGCAAAAAACACTCTTATAAATTGGTTAGCTTTCGATTTACATGTATTTTCAATAAAAATAATAGTAATAATGATAATAATAATATTAATAATAATTGTAATAGTAATAATAATAATAATAAGTTTATTTCGTCGTGAATAAATTTAAAGAATATGTTGACGATGTTGAAGAAGTTGAAGAGAGCATAGGACAGCACTTTGAAATGATTTGCATGTTTTTAAAGTTAGGAATTTCTTGAAAAACTAGAGTTACAATTATATGGGTGAAAAAATTAGAGAGAAAGGAAAATAGAGAAAGAGAGAGAAAGAGTAAAAAAAAGAGAGAAAGAGAGTGAGAGAAAAGAGAGTGAGAGAAGTGAGAAAAAACAGAGAAATGTTGGGAGAATGAAAGAACGCAAGAATAATTAAAAGAAAGATGGATAAGATGAAAGAAAGAAGATATACTAAAGAGGGAGTGAGAGAAAGAGAAATATAAAAAGAAAGAGTCAAAAAGACAAAAAGAGGG